TTATTTTAGAAATTGGAAAATTTTGTTACTTGATCAAATAATCCGTTTATTGTTTTGTATTTGTATTTAATTAAATCTGTAATTAAAAAAAATTTTTGTTGCCTATTTTAGTAATTCGGATAAATTTATAAATTTCTATGACACGTGAATCCGCTGTGGTAAAGATTAGTAGTCATATAGAAGGTTCCCAATCAAAAATGCTATTGATTCAAAATCGTGATGTTTGTGGTTATCCTTGTTTCTAAGCTAAAATTAATCCTAGCGGCGAATTACATGTAAAAATGTTGTTGGCTCAAAATTACGATTTTGGTAGTTTTCCCTTTTCTATTGTCCGTACCCCAAATGATTAAATTTGATATTTATCATGAGCAAAGTTGGCATTGGACAATATCTCGGACATTATCCAATATGTCAAAGGTGTATTGTTTCTTATGATTGTAGTTGAGGCAGCTGAATATTATTTGAGTCGGTGGTTAAGATGGTGGAGTTGAAGTTGCTCGAATGAAGGTTGTAGTTGTTTGTATGTTTATGTGTGGATAGGCATATGCAATTTATGGATACAAATGCATTCACATTCAAAGAAGGATTAATAAGGGATAAATAATGTTTTATTTATTTTGTTTCAACTAATGATTGAATACATAATATTAAATATCAAAAGAATTACAAGATAACAAACCACCAGAGCAATCGCATGGGAGGCCATCGCCTATCCTTTGGTCATGTTCTATACTTTCACTAGCAGGTGTATTTGTAGAACTAGAAAAATTACTTTTATGGTTAAAAAATTATAATGATAAATCATAGATCACCAAATAAACTATGAACATTTAATTATTAATCAAAAAATAATACCCAAACGTTCCGTGACTTTGAAGTAATTGAAACAATTGTTCTTGATCCATTCCAAAACTAGTCAAATCTTCCATCGTACGAAAAGAATTATTCAACGGATTCACACTACTACTGCTACTGCTACTACCACCACTTTGTTGATCATTAAGTAGTCGATTCACTTTTTTTACATTATCTTCATCTTTATCATCTTTTGCATCTTGCATCCAAAAAAATAATTTTTGATTTGATGATTTGAAGTTAAGAAGGTAAACACGGCCAGTTGTACATTGCTCGACTCGGATAAATTCTGCTTCATCCTGAAAAATTATCAAATCCTATAATAATTGATTAGAATGATTTATTTATATCATAGATACAAATCATTCCCGTACCCACATCCACGTCCACGCCCACATATATATTTATTATTATCTTACTGTTTCCGCATTTGTGGACTTTCTATCTTTCCAATAAAAATGCATCAATCCATCTTCAGTCTATCGTAACATTTTTATTGTTAGTAATGAATATCAACTATTAATACTATCGGAAAAAACCATTTCGTATAAATACTATTGTTATTACAAACCTGATCCATATAAATTAATCTATTGTGTAAATTAAAATTAAAAAAAAAAATGTTGGTTGGTTAACACTGATTTTTAGAGAGAAAAAAACTAAATTCAATTATCATATTTTTTTAAAAAAATTCTTTTTACCCTTTTCTCTCATCTGGCTTTAACCAGTTAGTTTCACCATCACGTTTAAGAATTCCAGCTTTAAATTCTACAGGATATTTTCGTCTAGGAACTGGAGTTGGAAATAATGAGGTGGTGGCCATTTTTGCAAATATACTATACAAAGTAAAAAGTGATGTATGGAGTTGTTAATTTTTGAGGATTTTGAGTAGTACGTAATAGTTAATCATGTGATGACGATCATTAATTCACATTATTATTGTTGTACCATACAAAAAACAAAGAAGCTCCTAAAATGTCTACTAGACTTCAAAGAACAGCAGACAAATCACTTAATGAAAAACATGCAAAAATTCTTAAAGATTGCTTACAAAAACCTGAAAATAAGAATTGTGCTGATTGCAAAAGAAAAGGTCAGTCGTTACTGAAAAATAACAAAAGTTTTGATAAAGATGATCTAACATATTAGGCTAAAAAAAAAATTATATATATATATATAAATTAGATCCACGATGGGCATCTTGGAATTTAGGTATTTTTGTTTGTATAAATTGTTCAGGAGTACATCGTTCAATGGGCACTCATATTAGTCGAGGTAATAAAATTTGTTCTAAGCAACATTAATTAATTAATTAGATTTCATTTAACACTAATTTTTTAATTGCTCGTTAGTCAAGTCTGTCGATTTAGATAATTGGACTCCAGAACAAGTAGAGGTAATTGATTTTTTATTACTTCTTTTATCTATTTATCTACTTGTGTATATACATATATATTGAAATATTTTAAGCAAAATTATATTAAAAAAACTATTATTCTACACATACATTTATGTACATAGAACGTGGTTAGATGGGGTAATGGAAAAGCGAATGCGTAAGTGTTTTTAAATTTCATGATTATTGAAAAAAAATCGAAGGGATTAGAAGCTTTGTTAGAATATGCTTGGTCCACCATTTTTATACATAATAAAGTAAAGGTTCATTCAAGATCTTATAATATTGATTCCATTATTCAAAGATATTGGGAAGCTAATTTAAAAAATAGCAAACCGTCTGAAAGGTATTCATTATTATAATTTTCCAAATTTTGATAATAAATAAAAAAAAAAATACTAAAAAATAATATTTATATGATAATTATTACAATAATAGGAATATAGACTATTGGATTAGATCCAAGTATGAAGCGAAGAAATGGGCAATGAGTGGCCCTATACCCGATCCAGACACCTTTAATGACAATGCTTATTTATCAGAATCTGTAAGAATTTTAGTCTTCCCCAAATTATATATATAAAAGTTCATGTTTTTCTAGTAATAACAACAGATTTTTTTTTTTAAATAACTAATACACACACGTTCTCTCTCTTAATTTAAGACTTCAGAAAAAACTTTAGAAAAAACTTCAAGAGAAGAAATTAAAAATGAAAAAAGTCCCAAAATTCAAAATAAAGAAAACAATACTTTTGATCTTTTTATGTCAGCACCACAATCATCATCCTCTAATAATGTTTCTTCACAACAACATCAACAAAAAAATTCTTCAAAACTTCACGGATCAGAATTTTTTTCTATAGGAAAACAATCAACCTTCACCGGTTCTATTCTTCCTCCACCGCAAGATTCATCACAATCCTCTACTGCCGCTACTACTACTACCACCACTTCTCGTCCCGCTACTCCTAATAATAATTCTTCGGCTGAACTTTCAAATCATCATAATACATTGAAATCATCGATTATGTCTTTATACAATAGCCCAAGTATTAAACCAACAACAACAATTACTCCACAGTCTATTCCCGGGCTTAGTACTTTTAATATTTCACCTCACGGGTCTAACACTTCTCTAAATTCGTTACCATCATCAACTACGACAAATGACATAGCATTGGATTCAAAGAATTTAATGATACCTCAAGGTGGTCAATACTTTACAACTTTTTCTTCTTCTTCTCAACAATCTTTATCAAATAAATCCATTTCTTCTCCTACCATAGAAACAAAACCTTCATCAAAACATAACGAGTAAGTTTTTTTTTTAAAAAAAAATAATTATGAAAAATCTTTTTTTTTTTCGAATACTTCAAATTAACTATTTATATTTTTATTATTATCATTTATTCTTATGTAAACAAGTGTTTTTGATGATTTGTTTGTTGACTTGCCGCAATACAAATAACGAATTTTTTACAAAAGTTATTAT